AAAAAAAGCTAGGAATTAGATCGAATAAATGGGTGAAAAAAGACATAGTGCATACATGTATGTATAGATAAACAAGATACATTGAAATAAACACAACAAAAATGACGATTGAAAACGTTACACGACTGCTGGTGCTGGTGCTGTATGATTATTGCTGGGAAGAGGTGAAAACCATGATTAAACAAGGAAAGACACAGCAGAACTATATGTATTTTAAAATAATTACCAGAACACTGGCTATTGTGCTGTTATATTTTTGCACCAAATGATTTTCAGGTTACTGTTTGAAAAACTTCATATTAGAGGAAATTATTTTTTTTCCAATTGCTCGTCAGTCTTCTAGCCAAAATTAATTTACGTTATCACCTAATTTGTGTTTAGATTTTGTTTTTACATTCACCTCTGCTGTTGGAAATTGTTGACTTAAACAGTTACACAACATCGGGTATTAATTGCCTTTTCTTACGCTTCTGCTTAATCTGAACATCTTCTTTGGACTTCTAATTTTGGGTAAACACTGTTACTACCTGGACTGGATCCGCACTATTCACATTTAACAAGTCGGCTTATGCAATTTCTTTTAGCATTATCAGCCACTGTTTATCTCTCATAATGAAGCAGACAAGCATAAAAGTCTACTGAGTTTATTAACTAACAACTTAGTTTTAGTGTGTTATTAACAGTTTACCAGCGGTATGCGGTTTAGAATCACTGTAAAAATTTAAACTGTAGAGTAATTTATGACACAAAAAGGTCATTTGCACTAACATTTAGTTCTTTAGTGTAGCTTTAGAAATTTTTAGGTTTCTCTCAGAAAATTAATGTTTTTTACACTTGTTGTAGGCTTCGGTACTTCGTATGCTTCATAATGTGAGGTTAATTGAATGGTTTAATGTCTTATCGCTTATTAACTTCGCACTCGCTAAACCTCTGAAGTTTACTTTCCATCTGTTAATGTTTATGGTGATTGTAGGTTTCTGTCAAGGGCGTGATGGTTAAGTCAACTAGTGTAAAGGATGTTGATCAGCACGAAATTGTGCGCCAAATTGCAATGTTTTTAAAAAAAAGTGGAAAGGTTGCTATTTTGCCACTTTTATTCTGGTTTTTTTTCTTTGTAAGACAACTATCTCTGTAAGTGAAGTTGGCATTTATTGTTGTTTATATTTTACAGTTTCTAATTTTTTTACAACTGATACTATTCCAACTAAATATGCAATTATTCAACTTTCACTTTACCTTTTAGGTAAAAGTACCTGAGTGGTCGGATCTCGTTAAACTTGGTTGCAACAAAGAATTAGCTCCAGTTGACCCCGATTGGTATTACACTAGAACAGCAAGCGTTGCACGCAGATTGTATATTCGGTCTCCTACTGGTAAGGATTGGTTATGCTTCATTGACGAATTGCGGAAATCAGTTTTGAATTGTCGGCTTCTTTGTTCTGTTAGTTTTGTACACTTTGAATTTGCAGGCGGAGAAACTAAGTAACTTATCATCATTTCTTTTCGTATATGCAGCACGAAACAGCTTGTTACTTGTCAAATCCTTGTCATTTTATGTTGTCGTTCGTCTTCCCAATTTTTTTATTTTCT